CGGCGGGGTGACGACCTTATGTTATTTTTTTTACTTTTCGTTTCTTTCCAGGGCGTAAGTTACAGATAGGGTAGTTGGTTTACTTGTTTTGGATTTTATTTTCATGATCTTTAGATTGGATACAAGTTTCGAAATAGTAAATCAAGTAATTAAATATAGGTATATTGTATTATATGAACAACATTAAAGTTATGTTATTTGAAGAATTAAGACTTAACTCTAGGCTTGAGATTTTAGAACTTGATTATATACATTTAGATGAGATTTTGGATATAGGATAAATGTACAATAACATGGGTGTATACGGACTCGTTCACTTACAAAAATGCATATTTGATAGATTGAAAACATTCTGAAGCTTTACGAAAGGAAAAGGCAAGATCTTGAGGATTCGTGACACGTGTCCGACATTCGAGGTATGTTAAGACTTTCTAGACTTCGTTGAAGGACAATTTCTAATTAAAGATTAAAAATGGAATAGACAATGGGTAAGGGCGAAAGATGGAGGTCTCATACCAATGGTGTGACGGGCATTGGTACGAGTACCGGTGTGATTAAAGGGAAAGTTTAGTACTATTATATGTTAGATTGTAATTCGAAAATGCCAAAGTATATGGGCATTAGCTGATATATTTAGTGACTTGATTTCCTGTGTGTGGTTGTGTTTCTTTATTGAACCCGTAAAATTGTGATAATTGAGGTGATTATATGTCATAGCAACATTTGATTTATTGAGATGTTGCATCATCCTTTTTTTATTATTGATATCATATTGTGCACGTGCATTGACATGAGACTGAGTGTGGGTAAAGGTCTAACACGTGGAGATAGTCCGTGTTGAGATCGAGTTATGATTATAATTTGGGCACGTGGAGATCGTCTGTGCGAGGGAGAAGTTATGATTATAATTTGGGCACGTGGAGATCGTCCGTGCAAAAATTGTTTGATTTTATGATAGTGCGTTGAGATCATCCGCACAGACACGTGGAGATCATCCGTGTTGGTATATGGACCTCGTGAGTCCCCCATGGGTCATGAACTCTCGATGTATTTTCGAGGAGTATCATGTATATACGGTTGAGGGAGTACTTGACTGAGGCATATCATTCCATGGTGTCACTTTGCATTGCATCTCATTACATCTTTCATTCTTGTTGATTATGTGTTTATTTGGTGGGTGGACATTACGTGAAATTTGATTGTCCCTATTGACGAAAACTTGGTTGATAAATATATTGGGGACTTGTAAAATTAAAGGATTATTTTCTTATATACTCCTGTCACTACTTCTTCGTTGTCGGTCGATGAGATATACTGGGTACACGTGGTTTCGTACTCATACTACACTTGCTGCACTCTTTTGTGGTGTAGATTGGATTTCAATTTCAAGTGCATTTCATGGAGCTTTCAGAGCTGAGTTTTGAATTATCTTGGAATTGTGATGCGCTACTTGGTTGTTCTGCGGCCCACACCTCCCTCTATGTCTTTAGACGTTATCATTTTATTTTAGTATTTAGACAACATATTTCTCACGTCTAGGTTTTTCATTTAGTTCCAGACTTGTATTGTAGTTTAGAAGCTCTTGTACTTGTGACACTAAATTTTGGGGTGGTAATTTAGGTTTCCGCACTTCATACTTGTAAAAGACTTAGTGTTTGGATATTATGTTTTCGCTTATCTTTCTACTTTAAATATTGAATTGAATTGATAAAAGTATTGGGTTGGCTTACCTATCAGTTGGGAATATATGTGCCATCACTATTTGTGATTTTGGGTCGTGACAGATATGAAGGTCTTGAATGCGCTTGATTCTGCAAAAACACAATGGTATCACTTCACAACAATCATAATAGCTTTTGTTTAGAGATTTTGAATACATTTGGATGACATATTTGTTTGGATTATATTTTTTGAGTTGTATCAGAACGAGTAATAGAAGGATAATGAGATGTTTATTTAAAATATGATATTTTATTTTGATAGGAGAGTTTTCATCCAATTAGGGATATATGCAATTCGTGATAATAAGAATATAAATAGCCAGATAATATAACGAAGAACAAATTAGCAAATAAATGGAAGTATAAAAATAATTTTAGCCCTTTTTTTTCAAAGTTATAATCTACTTATATTCTTACTTGACATAAAATATTTAACTTCATAAAAAAATTCTTACAAGAAATAAAATATTTAACTTCACCTAATAATACTAATACTTATATGTGTAAGTATTGATTTAAGTAAATAAGATATTAACCATGTGTTTGCTATATATTCCCTCCGCCCCATATTATATGTCACATTTTCCATTTGCACTTACATTAAGAAATAAAGTAATTTTACCCTTATGCCCTTATTTAATGTTTGCTTATGACAACTTTGTAATAAATGATGAAATGTTATATTTCAAAAATATAAATGTATTTGGATGACTATTTAAATTTTAGAGTTCATTTTTGAAGCCAAATTTTTTCACCAATTGATCCAAAAAATTAAAATAATCAAGTTTTTCCCACCTTAATTTTCCTATATATTTTGTGTAAAATGTTTTTTTATATTTTTATATATAAATTCTTAAAGCAAACATGACAACATCACAAAATATTCAAATTCCATTACTTCAAATTGATCTAAATTTTCCTTTGAACTTTTTGAAATGTCATCTTCCTTGATAAAATTTGTTGAAGCTTCAACTTTCAAGATTATTTTTGAATTTTTTTCATTTTTTTAAAATTTGTTTGTTGATATTTTTTTTCAAAATCAGATTTTATAGAATAAGTAGTGAATAAAGAAATCAGTTAATTAATGAATGAAGTACTCTCCCAATGAAATTAATTACTTGTAGATTTCCTAGGTTAGTCAAAGTAAATACATTTTCAAGATTAATTAATTAATCTATCAAGAGTATAATGGGCAAAAAATGATAATTTATGCATAAATTTTATAAAATGACATTTATTGTAGTCTAGCTATTTTTAGAAAGGGGTGACATATAATATGGGACGAAGGGAGTATTACTTTAGATGTTGCTACAAGAAAATTATTTATATTAATATAGAGATTCGAGTATGTTAACTAAAAGCTCTAAAATATTACTCCTTTTAAAAGGTGGGCAATCTTTGTCTGAAGGAAAATTTTGCAATTTTTTCTTTACAAACTTTAATATTGTCTTAGTAACAATAAAATCATCAAATTCCTTTTGAAGCTCTAAATTTGGGGAAAATTGACAATAGCTACTTTTCAGATTACTATCTAAGTTTTTCCCAAATTTTAAAATTATTCAATATTTAGATAATGGATTAAATTAACCTTACCCTAGAACACCAAAAAAAAAAAAAAAATCAGTATATAATTTAGTATATTGGAATTCAAAACTATTACTTAAAGGTCACAAGTTAAAAAATCTTTCATTATTTTTTTTAAATTTGGTATCCAATCAATATTTTAATATAAAATGGAATAATAACTTTAGTGGCACTTGAGAGTGCCACTAAAGATCTTGTCACATCTTTAGTATCTCAAACTGAAAGTCCTTTCATCCATAAATCAATTGAAAGTAGGGTTGGGCGTTCGGTTGATTCGGTTCGGTTTTTTCGGTTTTCAATTTGGCAAAAATTTGAAATCAAATCAAATTGAAATAAATTTGGTTCGGTTCGATTTGTTTCGATTTAACCAAATTTAATTAACAGTGGCAAAAATTAAAGAACGATAATTTATTTATACTTATCAAGGATGGATAGTAGTCATTAATTTACCGTAAGCCTCATTAGAATCAAATGCTTTGATGTCCTCTACATACAAATGCACCGGAAAATAGCCATTACAGATGTAATAAGATGATAGACATTAGACATTCGTGACTCAACACTACTTCATGAATACTTATTTAACACAAATGTTAATAGAGTTGCCTATAAATAACTTAATTACAGAAAGACGCAGTATATTACAGTTCACAAATCACACAAATAATCACGTAGTTGCATACTTGCACTCAATGATTAAAAAAACAATAGAGGATGTAATACACGTCTTTCATATTCTTTCCATGGGTTTTCATCAGATTTTGCTCTTAATGTGTAATTAACAATTTCTTTTGTTGTTTCACTTCAAGAATCTCTAACAATGCTTACAGATTTTGCTCTTCAACTTCTAGAGTGCTACACTGCTCTGCTACTACCTACTCGTGTTGTTTTCCACAACTGTATTAGATTTCATTAGTAATTTACCATCAAAATAAAGATTTTCAGATGAGAGTTGGGATGCTTCCAGTCGTGAGTCGCGAGTGAGCACTGAGCATTGGTCAGTGAGAAGCGCTGCGAGCTGCGAGCACTCGGCGAGAGTCAGAGATTAGAGTTGAGAGACGACGAACTGAGAGATGAGAGATGAGAGTTAACTGCTGAACAGACGTGAGGTGAGAGTTGAGAGATTGGAGTTGCTGTCTGAGTTAGGGATTTCAGATTATCAATTTAGGGATTTTCTATTAGAATTTGGGCCTAATTTGAATATGGGCTGTGGGCTGGCTAGGGCATGGGCTGAAGTAACTTAATTAAGGGTGTAAGAAATATACATATAAGGCAAAATTACAATGTATCAGCGCTTATATTATTGTATCTCGCGCATCGGATTAATGTATCAGCGCTTATATTATTGTATCCGTTTGAGGATTTCTGTAATTATAAACTTTTAAGAGATGAGTTGTAATTTTGTCTTAAAAATATGTGATTTCTGTAATTTGCCCAATATATTTTGCTTAACATCTTAATTTTACCCTTTTAATTTTTATCTAAACCCATTCATTGCCCACTAACCCGAATCTTTAACCCATATCATCAAGAGAGTAGGCTGCATCGCGGTTCTTTTGATTTTTATTATTATAAGCTGAGCAGAATAATATCTGCCGAAAAACCTCTGGTGAATTAGTTCCCCCCAAATCCCTGCCCCCTCCCTATTTCCAGTTCTCAATTTCCTCCAATTCGTGTCTGTAAAAGTGAAGTGAAAATTAGGGTTAAGGTTAGGGTTCCGTGCTAAGAATCGAGTGCGGGGGCCATTCGGAGCATACGATGTACGCCGATCGGGTGGAGGCAGTGACGAAGAGGTCGATAAGGGATAGGCTTAACGGCAACACTGCTGATGATTTCGCTCGCCGGAGACAAGTTACCGGCAAGAGGTTTTCCCTATTTCTCGCCTTTTTCCACTTACATTTATTATTACTTCTGATGGCTTCAGATTTTTGTAACTTCTAACTTTTTTCATGTCTTTCTGTTTGTGTATATGCATTTGGTCAGATGTGTTATTTAGTAATTTAAGTAGGGTTTTTTCTTCAATCCAGTACAGGATTGGTATTAAGTAGACAGACCAATGTTTTGCATCTGCTTACTGTAGAGATTTCTGTCACGGTTTTTGTTGTTACCATGTGAGATGTGTGTAAATTGTAAAAGCTGTCTAAAGTTAGTTTTTCTTATTTTGAATAGATAGTACTTACTCCCTTCCATGTCTTTTGATTGTTCTTGACTAGGCATGAGTTTAAGAAAGAATGAGACTTGAGCTTTGTGGTTTTAAAACAAGCTAGAAATATTTATGTTGCTATACATTATGTGCAAGAAGTTTAAAATTGAATTATTTCTAAATATAGAAAGCTGTCAACAAGGGTATCATACCCTACTCTCCCTCTGATATGTCCTCATTCTTTTTGGGCCAGACTAAAAAGGAAGGTGTGCACATCTAATGGGACAGAGGGAGTAGCAGTTTAAGTTTTATTGTCAAACTTTTGTTAGGATTCTAATTCTTTTGGGCACAATTTCTTTCAATTAAATGTGGTTTAGGAAGTTGAATATTGGTAAAAACTGTGAATACCTGTTAAACAGAGGCACCATGAGCGTTTGTGTAATTGTCAATTTTCTTCCGGGAAAGTGTCATTGTTGCTTACTTGGCCTTCCTCCTTGTTGCTTCCGTATGGCCTATTAGAAGTCAAACCAAATGAATTCCTTTTGGGGCTCTGGGTCCTCGTAGATTGGACTATCTGCTTGACGTTCTAAAACATAAAGTTTGAGTCGATCTAATGATTAGTTCCGGGAGATGCATTATTTTTTTTGAGAAGGTAGTAGATTATGTATTAAAAATGCAGCAATATTTAGCACCAACTTAGCACCAAGTTGGTGCTAAGGCAATACAAGAGGCGGTAATCCTCATGTACATAAAAATTACAGAAAAGGAGGACATCTACAATAAAGGCCCTATTTTTGTAAATGTTCTATGAAGTCTAACCATACTATCTTTTTTTTTTGAACTTGGTAACTTTGAGTCTAACCATACTATCTTCATCCTTTACAACCTGTAGATTACACCAAAAGCCATAAAAAATTTGTATCTAAGCTGCTGTATAATAACTTTCTTCCCTTCAAAGCATCTCACATTTCTTGGGAGATGCATTCTACGAATGAGAAATGAACAAATTAGCTAAAAAACTATTATTTGCTAAGTTGCTCGCACTTGGGTGTGGGTGTCCAATACGGGTGCGGATCTAGAGGTTGGATCCTTCATGATCTAAATTTTAAGATTCAGGGGTACGGATCTAGGCATGGATACGGGTGCGGGGATTTGGCTAAAAATAATTCAAATATAAAAAATAGAGTTATAAAAATATGCCTAAACTATTGTGGACTATTTGGAAGGAAAGGTATGCACGAATTTTCGAGAGCAAGTTCGAATATGTAATTATTATCAAGTACAAATGCATTTCTTTACTGAATATTATTAGAAATCAGTGTATTTGTCTTGAAATTTCTCTATCGATTTTGGTCAAAGTGCCGAGAAATCGTTTGACCATATCTGGTATGGATCCCACACCCCACACCCACACCCACACCCACACCCATGTCGTGTCGACATGGGTGCGGCATTGAAAGTGAAGAGGCCACACAACTTAGAGTATTTGTAAGGTAATAGTGATGATATATAAGTATATCAGATCATGCTTGCCTTTTTTTTTGCAGCTTTAAGCCTTCTATGGTGGAGTCCTATTAACTTTCTGGTTCAATTTGTAATCTATTTTGTAGGCACAGAGAAGAAGATGACAAATGGGAGCATGATCTTTACGAGCGTCATGAACTTCCGGGATCAAGTACAGTGTTGTTTGATACCATTAGATTCAGTTAGATATTACTTATTCATTAGGAAATATACTTGTGATTGCTCCACTAAAATTTTTGACATCTTTTATGGGCATTCACAGGCCAGAGAATTGGTGCTAAGGATCTTCGTCTAAAACTCCAAAAGAAAAGTATCCAACAGGCTACTCAAAGTGTTAAAGGTTCTGTCTCTGGAGGTATGCGGGATCTGCGTGAAAAGCTTTCTGGTACTGTATACTCACAAAAAGTGGAAAATGATCCCCCCAAAGCAAAGCTGAAGGTGGCTCCTGAAATAAGTAAACCTGTCAGGAGAAGTAGCATAACTGAAGCTCCTGCCATGGAGACAAAAAAAATTGCCAGCACAGTTTCAAAGAAGAAGTCCCAGCAAAAGGCAAGATCTCCTTACTCAGATTTGTTTCACCAATAAGCTCCTTGTCAATAGCATTACTTCTTTATCAAATGATGATATTGCCAATAAAATGTGAGCAGACACAGCCTGACCCCCAAGGAAGCTTTCAGAATTTTCCCACACAGAAGGGTAATAGAGTCTCTAGACAAAAGTAACATGTGGCATGAATTACATGATACCATCTTCCTTACTTTCAGTTCTTTAGTTATTAACTCCTTCCATTTTGTTGCTGGTTCTTGCTATTTGTTCAGTGGGTCAGTTTCCTGCTTGGAACAATGTCATGGCAATAGGGTTTTATAGTACGCCCTGCATTTCAATTTGCATGACCCTGTTTGCCTGGCCATATAGTTTAGAATGAAAGAAAGACTATGAACTTTTGAAGCTTGTGGTCTTAAACATGTCATAACATTTGTGTGGTTGTAAGACTTTTGAAACTTCTAATCTTACATATGGCATAACATTTGTGTGGCTATAGAACTGTCATTCAGGATAAAATGGGTAGTATCAAGTGAAATTGTTTTCAAGTTTAGAATGTGGTTATTCTTTTTTGTACATACTAAACAAAAAGGGAAATAGTGTCACATAAGCTAGAACGGATGGGGTATTAGGTTACTATACAATGTAATACATGACCAATATAAACCCTTTTTCGTTGGTAAGTTCATTTTGTAATCAAATTATTCGGTATGACTCATAGCTATGTCCACTTCCCTGCTGGATTTTTTTATTTTTCTGGTTTATGGAATCAAACCAGTGAAAGAACTCTCTTAAGAAAACATCTTTTCTTCTGCACTTGGTTCATTCCTATAAACTAAGACTACTTAGAACTGAATCAAGGTCATGCACACAGTTGTCTAGAAGATTGACACCTACTGGCTGTTTATTTCCAGGGTTGAGTTTTGTGAATACAGCAACATACACAGTGTAGTCCCACAAGTGGGGCCTGGGGAGGATGGGGTATTATGTAGACCTTATCCCTACCTCTGTGGAGGTTGAGAATTTTTATTTCTAAGTGCTTCTTGGTTGGTCCTTATATCCTTGAGAAATTGTATAGAAATTTGTTTATTCCAGTTTGATAGAGGGAGCTTTTCTGGGCATATACCTTTGATTTTGTTGTGTATGCATATGCTGTGGCTAGGACTCAGCTCAGCTCACTGGACTCCTTAATATGACTGGAGTAATTGTGTCCATGCAACATATGCATAGGGAAAATCAACTCAACCTTTCTGAATATCAGTCACTGAGACATGTCATGCCTTTGTGCTAGCTGCGCTTTGTATAGTGATCTTTCCTCTCTTCAACCAGCTAATCAAATGGAAGCCGGAGAGATTCTTGGTAATATAGATGAACCTGGGAATATGCTTGGTCGACATAAGGTAAGATACTTAAAGTAGAGTACCTAGATGCCCATGGATGATATATTCTTGTGCACGTATGACATTTGCCTCGACTTTGTAGTGCTACTAGAGTACCACAGTCAGGGTTGTACTCTTCAACATGTAGGGGTTGATGGTTGAAAGAGTGGTAGCCAGACTTTTTTAGTTATCAATTCAAAATTAGAAGCCATTAATTTTTTTAATGTCAATTGACATATCAACAAGTAGCTTTATCAAAGGATTAAGCAAGCTTTATGCTTAATATATGAGTGAAAATTTTGGCTGCTATATCAGGATCAATGGCAGGTTGGATCCGCCAAAAAGACTTGTGCTTCTCTAGCATCAGACCCTTAGTATGGGAAAAGGAAAAGGAAGATATGGGAAACCAAACCAGTTTGCATACAGTAGGTGATTTGGAGAAAGAGAACATACTCAAAATGAAGTAGAATAACATTTCACTTTTGGCCTTTTGGCATAGTATGCAGGATGTTTTTATGTAGATAGGTCTATAGATTTTCTCAGTCTCCTCCCTGTTTAGAGGTGTAACTGAGCGTTTCGCAACTACTACAAATATTAACTCCCAACGCTTTCTTAGTGCCTTTGTTTCTTAAATATAAATTTTTGCTTACCATTTCAACGGGGAAAAAGAAAAAAGAAAATATAATTATTTTTTTGAAATTGCTAATATTGCTAATTAAAAGCACTAGGGCAGTGTGAAAGCCATATATAGAGGGGAGATTCCCACAGCCAACAAAAATCTAAAATCAATTATAGTTTCCCTATGAAGTCTATCAAAGAAACCTCCTCTAAAAAGCTCTCTTTACACCAAAAGTGAAACAAAAGTAAACACTTCATCTTAATGTCTTGCACATGACTACCCCTATCTTCAAAAACTCCGGAGTTCCTCTTTCCAAATTGTCCTCCATATGCAAGCATGAATCAATCTCCACCATTTCTTCTGTCTTAAGGCCTACTTTGTTTTCATTAAGATTAAGATGTCCGGATTTGAATGCAAATCTGAATGGTTAAGATGTTGCCTCTATATCTAAACACGGAATGAGTAAGAAAATTTGTTTTTCAACATCTAGATATGCATAATTATTTAGTTGTGAACATAATAAATATACAATTCAAATAAAAATTTAATTTAATATTAGAAAAAATATTAATTTAATAAAATAAAATCATTATTTGATTAAAAAATGAAACATTTATGTTCACTAGTGATGGTGGAGATGATTTGTAGTGGTGGTGGTAGTGGCTAGTAATGGTGGTGGTGAAAGCTGTGATGGTACAAGTGGTTGGTATTGTAGTACTATTATGATGGTGGTGATTGGTAGTAGTGGTGGTGGTGAAGTTAGTAGTTGGGTGGTGACTGAAGAATGTGGTGGTAGTTGGCGGTGGTTCTAGTTGTGGTGGAGGTGGTTACAATAAGGATTGACCACAATGGTGGTAGTGGCTGATGGTGGTGGCGCTGAAGAATGTGTGTGGTGGTTAACGAAGTGTTGGTGATAGTTGGCGGTAGTGCTAGTTGTGATGGTGTAGTTGGCTGGTAGTAGGTATTGGCCGTTGTGGTATTAGTGGTTGATAGTGGTGGTGGAGATGGTGACAATGGATATAGTATAACGACGAAGGTGGTAGATGTGATGGCGGGTGGCAATAGTGGTTGACAACGGTGTTGGTAGCTAGTGGTGGTTGTGATGACATAGGTGGTTAGTGGTGATGGCAGGTGATTATGGATAGAGTGGTGGTGAATATTATCATGCACACAAATACCTCTTAATGATATTAAGACTTAGTTCAACATCTTAATGATTAAGACCTATTCAGACCAATTAAGTGCTTCAATCTTAATGAAATCAAATGCACTTAATGGCCTAATTTAGACCTCCATTAAATGCTAACAAATGAGGCCTAACTATTTCCCCCAAACTGATCCAGCTTTTAAGAAGATCAACAGTATTTTTAGGCACACACTGCTTGATCCCCACAACATCGAGTAATAGTTGTCATAGTTGGATAGTAAAAGAGAAATGAAGTACAAATGGCTATTAGTTTCAGTGTCAAAAAATGGCTATTAGTTTCAGTGTCGAAAAAAATGGCTATTAGTTTTTGTGGTTGTCTCACAAAACAAACATCTGGAGCATAGTTGGAGCCCCATTCTTCTCAGCCTTTCTTGAGTCAAAACTGCCCGTCTCGCTAGTCGCCACCAACCAAGTGAAACAGAAAACCTATGTAGGGGCATTTGTTTTCCAAATTGGCTTCCATGGACAACTATCAATCTGTTGGACACAGTTGCCGATTATCAGATTGGCAGACTTGACTGGCAAATTCCCATCTCTATTATGATTCCACTGCACCTCTGCATCTGTTAACCCCCTGAAAATCCTCCAGTCTTTAAGAACTCCATTGTTCCTTCAATTTCCCAATCATTTAGAGCCCTCTAAAAGGTAATGTTCCACCTTGGCATCTCCTTAACAGTGTTGTCAAAAGCAAAAAACGCAAAAGAGCTCTAAGGTCCGTCGATGCTTTAAGTGCAAAGCGTTGCGCAAATAAAGCATGGGATTTAATGAAAAAAGGCGCAAAAGGAGAAAAAATACAAATATATATTTAGTCCAAGACTTATTGAGAAATAATTACTATAATGTGAAATAACAACTGCTTTGTGTCATCTCTTCAGAAGAGGTTCATTGGCAAGGACAAGTATGTCTTAGAACCTTGATGACGACACTGGAGCGCACATTGAGCAAGGCGAAGCGCTCAACACGTTTTGAACCTTGTTTCAGGGTTTAAGCGCACCTTTGGTAACACTGCTCCTTAATTGTGGGTAAATAAGCATATGGGTTGATTGAGATTCTGAACAAATCAAGGAAAAGATCTTGCAAATACGCATACCCTAGCCAGTTGTCTGTATATAGAACAAGGTCTTTCTACCATTATCAACCTAGATGCTTGATTTCTCTAAAAACAAATCCCAGTGTTGTCTAATGGATCTGCACACCCCTATAGTCCATAAGGGTTGTTAACATGAAGTGTGAACCACAACCTTTCCTGACCATACTTGTCGCAAATTACCCTTCTCGATAAGCTATTCTCTTCCATATTATACCTGCATAGCCATTTCATCAAAAGACTAGTATTTTGAGCATTTCAATCCCTAATTCTCAGGCCTCCTTTTGATTTGGTAGTGATTAGAGACTTCCACTAGACCAGGTGCATAACTTGTTTGTCCTTCTTTCTATGCCAAATGAAATTTCTCCTTAAAGCATCAATTCTATCCCTTACCTGGTAAGGGGAACAAAGACATCACATAAGTTGGTAAAGCATCCAACATACTATTAACCAAAATAACTCTACCACGAAAGATAAATAATACTGATTTGTCCAGGTAGCTAGTCTCTTCTCACATCTTTCAATCACTTTATTCTATATTTCAATGACTTTGTTTTGGAAACCTAAAGAGAGACCCAAATATACCGTTGGTAGGGTCCCAGCTCACATCCCAAAAGTGCTGCCAATGACTGGAAATTGTCAACCACATCAATTGGAAAACGGAAGCAGGACAAATATACTATCACCAGTAGTATGTCAATACCCTCCGTTATACTTTAAGATTGTATACACCCTTACCATCAATCTTTTGGGTTGTGTATACCCTTAAAGCTAACGGATGGACGCGTGGCTTAATCTCAATAATTTACCCTATTTTATATAAATAAATTTATCCAAAATTTAAAAACCCATCTTTTTTTTTTAAACCCATCCCACCCACAACCAAAATAAGATAACCCTTCATCTTTTTTTGTAATGGATCATCACTGATCCCTTGTTGACCAAAAAATTAAAAAAACCTTCATCTTCAAGAATGAAGCCAGTGCATCTTCCCAAAAGTTTCAGACAAAAACAGTGCACCAACCCCTTTCAACAACACAAATTGATCATGAAGGTAAAAATCTTAACATGGAATGTAAGGGGGTTGAACAATGAGGATAAAAGGAGACTAAATCCTTAGTTCATCAGTGGGGAGCATACATCTATGAATTCATAGAAACTAAATTATGGGGGACAGTGGAAGAATATTTTCAGCAACTTTGGGGAAACAGATGGGTTGGAGGGGTATGGATGGAGTCCATTGGTAGAAGTCGTGGAATCATTGTATTATGGGACAAGAGGGAATGGAAAGGGGAGCTCATCGACAGTGGCAGTCAGATGCTCACTTGTAAACTATCTGGGATCAGCCAAGACTTGACTTGGTATCTTACTGTTGAATATTCAGAGTGTGACAGAAAAGAAAGAGAAGAATTGTAGTGGGAGATCTCATCTATTAGAGGAATATGTGAAGGGCCCTGGGTGATTTCTGGGGACTTTAATGTATCCAGATTTCCCTCTGAAAGGACAAACTATAACAGAATAACCAGAGCCATGGCTGATTTCAACCAATGCATAAATGATCTTGAGTTACTGAATCCACCTCTCTCCGGAGGTTATACATGGAGAAGAGGTCAAAATCACAGTTGTGCCACAAGAATAGATAGATTCTTGCTCTCGTCCTAATGGAATAAGAGTTTCTCCAAAATCAGCCAAAGTGTTCTCCCACAACTTGGCTCTGACCATAACTCCATCCTGCTATCCTGTGGTGATTGGAAAGACAGGAAATCATATTTCAAATTTGATAATCGGTGCCTTAAGGAGGAAGGATTCATAGACAAAGTGAAAGAATGGTGGAGCGGCTTCAATGCCACTGGCTGACTTGATTTTCAATTGGCTAAGCTTTGTCAATTGAAAGTCAAGAACAAAGAATGGAGCAAGGCCAACAAGAACAACTGGAAGGAAAGGAAAGATTAGATTCTATCACAAGTGGGAAATCCTGAATCCATTCAGGATCTCAGACTTTTGACAGATGATGAACATTTGCAGAAAATTCAGCTGGCTATGGAGTTTGAAGAGGTGTCCAGAAATGAGGAAATTGCTGGAGGTGGAAATCCAGGGTACAATGGGACAAAAATGGTGACAAAAACACCAAGTACTTACATGGAATGGCCAATGCTCACAGAAGATTCAACTCCATTGACATCCTCAAAGTGGAGGGGGCTAAAGTTACTGATCCTGAAGAAATAAAAATTCCATAGTGAGGTTCTATCAGGAACTCTACAAGGAGTTTGAGAATCGGAGACCTGATTTCACACTCCAAGGGAATACCAGGATCTCCACTGAAGAGCAGGTGTGGCCGGAAAGACAACTTGAAGAGGATGAAATATTAGAGGGGCTTAAACAGTGTGCCATTGATAAGGCCCCAGGCCCTGATGGATTCCCAATGTCATTCTTCATTGCTTTATGGGAAATGTTGAAGTCAGATATACTCCTCACCCTATGGTGTTGGCCACTGACCAGATTCAGAAAGGGGACTTCCCCATGCCTTGTCACTTGGTCATCAACTCTAGGGGCTAATTTATATGCAAAATATGGTCACGAGAATCCATTTTGTCTCCGTAAAATAAGGTATTTTATGTATATATGTTTTAAAATTGGTATAATATAATATTCTGGCACCCACTCTACAAGAAGGCCAAAAAGTGCACTTAGTTGGATGTTGAGTTATTCACCATGAGGACTAGGGATCAATTCCCACTTAACACCTTGTTTCCTTTTTTTTTAGTGGTGCACCCATGCTCAAGAAATTCTAGGTTCGCCTCTGAATTGTCAAAGCATAAAAGGTTTTTTTTTTTTTGATTTGCACCGGGTGTCCGAGTCTCTTTGAGCCCCGACTAATCCCGGGGGTGCACAGGCCCTCGGCAAGGAGTTTCCCGCAAGTGCACCACGGTTAAAGCATAAAAGGTTTTGAGGGCTAGGTATCAGTTCACACTTCCTAATTTTTTCTCAGTGGTGCACCCATGATCTAGAAATCCTAGATTCGCCCCTGAATTTAACTCTTTATCTCCTACAAAAACTGATTTCGACACACCTTTCATCAGAATAGGGTGAGTCTCTTACTATCTCCAAAACACTGTGAAACTTCTCCAAAATAGCGATTAGGGTTCTGGTTGAAATTGCCTTCATCTGGCCCAGTGACTTTCATCACCAGAGGGCTTTCACACCATATCTGCATTTCAAAGCTCTGCTCGATCTCAACACTACTCGGATTCTTCTCCAGAGAACCTTTTTACCTTAATTCTGGCCTATTTCAGGTGATTTTTGGGAAGAGTATCTTCTTCCGTTTCTATCCCTCCACATTTCCCCCCTATTTCCTTGATAAGGTGGTTTTATGCAGGTGGCATCCTCAAGCTGAAATTTAATGTGGTCTATTTCCTAGGGATTGACGTAGTGTTTTTTTGTTTGGAGCAAAATTTACTGAAATTTTCTTTCAGAAAATTAAAAGAAAAAAATAAAAGCCTATCATAGTTTGGAAAGAGTAATATGGACTGACGACCTAGTACTTTTTGTATCTCATGGAGTTTGCACATAAAGGAAGCAATACATACATAAAGTTGTCCTTGATTACAAACAACAATTATATATGGAAAAGCCTGCATTGAGAAGAAATATTTGAAATAAAAATCATGTCAATCTAGTCCAGAAATCACAAAAATCACTAATTCTGATCCAAAAGTACTATTTAATTGTCTAATTCAAATTAATGAATAAATTGTCATGCTACATTTTAAATTTACTATTTACAATCACTAATATATCATTTTGTCAAGTAGATTCAATTTTTTTCAGAACAGTGGTGTCCTGGCCAGTTTCACATGCCTACACTATTCTACTAGATACCTGCTACCTTCCCCTGGTGCAGATATCAAGTAAATCTCCCCCACCAAGGCTTTGACATATGGGAAGAAATCACTAAAAGCTGTCTCCCTTGGTTTTCATCCACTTTATTGCCGTCGACCTCGAGGCCATGACCTTTGGTGCTTTGCCTGTTTGTTAGTTATATTCATTATTTCATGCTACCCTCATCAGGTGGGCATCTTGGTGCACGACTTGGGTCTATTAAGTGTTTTCTAAACCTAAGTGCTCGATGTACACTGCACTTACCTTGAAGGTAACGTCTCTGTAATTAAGTCCAGCTTTTAACAACATTGTGGCATGCACCACAGGTGTGAACTTATGTCCAAAGTTTATCCCCAACTCATTTGTGAATTTCATGGTCTAGTCAAATCCCACACCTTTCATGCTCGCATTCGGCAACTCCACTTTCGTCTGTGCTGGTTTACAGTAGAAACAGGAATTAAACTAGAACTGTTATTGTTATCTATAAAACTTCATATAGATCCTATGATTTCTTTCTAGTCTTACCATTCAACGTCTTTCAACACACTTTCACATGTTTTGCAGCATTTTCATTGCTGCTACCTTAATGCTGTTTAGTGAGATCATGTGTGGTGAGCGTATTGCATTTGATCTGCACATCCCATATTTCTTTATCTTCTTTAATTTTTCATGTGCAATTAGACCTTCTGATCTGCATTTCTTACTACTGTGTAATCGGTGGTTGTGCCTGTCGGTGCTCATTCTACTCGTCTCAGGACTCTGGTTCTTTACCCTGATGTTATCAGCTAATATAATCACATAATAAACAAAAATGGGTGAAAACTACTCAAGCATGCTCATTTGCTATTCCAGCGTACCCTGTGGACTGCTCTTATATGTAAAGGTTTATACATTTGGTGCAGGCGGAATCAGTGGATAATTTTCTACAGTCATTGGGTCTTGAGAAGTATGCTATTACATTTCAAGCTGAAGAAGTATGTAAATCACTGCTGTTCTTTCCTTCTTAATTTAGTTTGAAGTCCTGCAGCATTCACCTTTTCCCTGTTCTTTTCTTGCAGGTTGATATGGCTGCTCTTGTGCACATGACAGATGAAGATCTCAAAGCTATAGGAATACCAATGGTAAGTATCATAATTTTGTATGAGAATTCATTTGAAGATTGTGACTTTCTGTTTTTCATTTGAAGGCAGTGGTCTTTTCTATTACGTGCTGATTGAAAGCTTTATTCCGTTTTGGTTGTTTCAGGGTCCAAGGAAGAAGATAATATTAGCACTGGAGACTAGAATCTGATAATTGGGGATAATCTTCCTTTGCTGGGGTTTTTCAATGGTCTACCATCCAACTAGTCAGAAGGCGGCTTGTGTTTTAACTGTACAAGTCTCTTTCTGGGATTTATTTCTTTTAAGTGTTTTCTTTTTCAATTTTTGGGTTTTATCAAAGTCAAGTGTGGTTAATTAGAGCTCTCAACATTTAATGATGAGCTAACCCTTGAAGGGCATATAATTTAATGGCTTTGTTGGTTGCTTTGCTTGTAACTTGGAAACCAAATTTTGCTGTTTCATCTCTCATCGAGCTTTACATTTTAGTTTTGTATCACTATTATCTCTTCACTTCTCCAAAAGATAAATTTATATATTATTTTACTGTGAAGTCTATGTTTTCCTGTCAAAAAAATCACATAAATATAATTTTTAATTACACAACACAATAAATTAATTTGGGCACATTTTCTTTTGCTGAATTTTATACAAAAAAAAAAATACAATTTGAGAAATTCAAATTAAATGTCCAAACAAAATTTCAATTTCAAATTAATTTGATTTGAAATTATGATTCTATATCACATCCAAATGAGCCCTTAGTGTTGTTTGATGCTCCTTAATTGAATAGTTGAGTCATTTTTCATTTTTTAAATTAATTTAATTGTTCGGTTTTCAAGACTAGATTTAGAGTGTTCTTCCAATTTTACCCTTTATTAGTTAATAATGGAATTAGTGGTTAATTACTATTTAGTTATTTTAATCAGAAATTTGACAATAATTAATAAAGGTAAAAATGGAAAACTATGTTCAATTTATGTCTTAATCTACTTTTCTTAAAGGATGTGAAACACCTAAAAAATTCAATTAATATGGAATGGAGGGAGTAATTACTATCAAATCTATGTTTTTAGGTTGGTTAATTTGTAAGTGCATGTACGTAAGCGACTTTGGTTACTTTGATGTGTTCTATGAACACATTTAAGCAAATGAATTGATTCAAATTAACATAATAAATAGAGACAAATTTGAAATTTAAACTTTATGAGTTGAATGGTCAAGGATCTTAGCATTGAGCTAATTGTATTTTTAAAGTTATGAATTTAGATATCTCATTTGTTGCAATTTTAATAAATTCTTATTTATGAAGTTTTTTCTTCACATAAAAAATATTAGATTCAAGATAAATCCGACGTCCCAACTCTACTTTTGGCTCTAACAGGAATGTTCCGCTTTAGGGTTCAAGTGTTGTCTATTAAAAGTAATCTTATCTCATATATTTTAAATTTAAAACGTATAATTAAAGATATAAGATACTTATCGATCACCTACCACCAAAAATGATAGCAATACTTCAAATATATGAAGTAGAAAACTTACGCAATAAATATTTTTTTAGCAATTAGAATCGATTTAGGGAACTTCTAAAATTTACGTATTTTAAAACGTGTTTTCGAATTATTTATAGTTATAGCAGTTTGTGTTTAAGTAAAGATATTTAAGTTCTTTTATTAGTATTAGAGTAGTAGTTTGCGTTTATTCAAAATTTTCCCAAAAAAAAGAACTTGAGAAAAACAAATTTACGTAAAAAATATGTACAAATTTACATTATGATAAATTTAATCATAATTTTTAGTTCTTTATTACTCTTAGAGATTTTAGTTAAGTAGTAAAATTATATTTAACAAAAACATTTCATCTTTTGTTTGAGATTCACTCCCATCATAGGATAAAATATGTGTTTATCAAAATATTTATTACTCCCTCTATTGCTTTTACTTGCCACTTATTTCTAAGATAGACTTTTATTTTTACTTGTCACTTTTGACCTATCAAGAAAAGACAATTATTTTTTTCCATGTTTTACCCTCGACATTAAATACTTATTCTACATATCAAAGACCTAATACTAAACAACATTTAATAGGAATAGTTTGATAAAATACATATATCAATAATTGTTTTCTTAAGGGGTGTACCAAGTCAAACAACGACAAGTAAAAATAAACGGAGAGAGTATTATTTAATTATAATTAAATAATATATGCTTATTTTATTTTTAACTATTAAAAGTTATTTTATTTAGTGTACATCACAAATGTAAATGTAGATAAATATTGTGGTCCTATACTACGTTCAATTAAAAAAAAATATAAAAATAAATTAAAACGAAGAAAATATAATCAATTATATGGCATGGCAGTTGGTCAAGATAAGTGATAAGTGACAGTTTATCAATCTCCAATACATTCAATTCTTATATTATAAATATAACCCAATGTTTGCATCAATTTCTTCATCCTTTAATTAATATAACTAAGCTTTGAAGAAAAAAAATGATGGGTTCCAAGGCATTTTTATTTCTTGGCATTTTTTTGGCAATCTTTTCAATGATAAGCTTTGAGGTTGTAGCTAGAGAGTTGGCTGAGACCCGTAAGATTACTTTTTCCTTTCACTATTTATTTCTTTGAAATATTGGATTTCTTATCTAATTATTTGATATTTATATATATATGAATGTAATGCTAATTTTTAAATTTCACATTTGATATTTGTAGCAATGAAATTGGATTATAAGAATGATGTACACGATGATGGATATAATGACATTGACGGATATCTAGGTGATAGACGTGGCGAATATAAAAATGGATATAAATTTCCTGGTGACGGATATTATCCTCCACATGGTAGTGGATATAAACCCCCATATGGTGATTATAACAACGCATATAAATCTCCACATGGTGAATATAACAACGGATATAAATATCTTGGGTGGGGATATAACACTCCACGTGACGGATATAATTCTCCCGGTGATGAATATAAGCCCCCACATGGTGAATATAACAATGGATATAAATCTCCTGGTGGTGAATATAAACCTCCACATGATGAATATAACAATGGATATAAGCCTCCAAGTGGCGAATATAAGCCCCCACATGGTGAATATAACAATGGATATAAATCTCCTGGTGGTGAATATGAACCTCTACATGATGAATATAACAATGGATATAAGCCTCCAAGTGGCGAATATAAGCCCCCACATGGTGAATATAATGGATATAAACAACATGGTGATGGATATAAATCTCCTGGTGGTGAATATGAATCTCCACATGATGAATATAACAATGGATATAAGCCTTCAAGTGGCGAATATAAGCCCCCACCAGTGGCGGATCCAGAAATTTTATATTATGGGTGCTCAGCGTTTTTAGCTCAAAAATTACTACTTAAGATGGGTGCTCAATTAATACATTTCAATGAAATACTAATTTTTTATACATAAATATTACTGTTTGTCACAAAAGGCAGTGGGTGCTTAAGCACCCATTATGCACAAGGTAGATCCTCCACTGGCCCCCACATGACGGATACAACCCTCCAAGTGACGAACACAATCCCCCACATGACAAGTATAAACCCCCGTTTGGCGAATATAACCCTCCAGGTGGAGGCCATGAATAAGTCACTAGCCAATTGCCTCACAACCAATCTATCATGTAATATTACAAAATCGTTGAGCATATATAGTGGCAAGATATATAATAATAATAGTCTTGCTACTCTAAACCTTGCAATAAAAATGGTATGAATAAAACGTCTTCAGTTCATAAGTATGGTTGGTCATGTAATATTTTCTTATACAATATAATACACTATATTGTGATAACATATTTTCATAATGCATGTTTTCTTTTAATATGTTGTACGTTCATAATGCATATTTTTTTAGTATGTTGTACGTTGTTGATGATGAACATATGTTTCTTCTTATTTCATAACTTATTATTAAACTACTCTCCCATCCCTAATTATATGATGCTTTTTGCTTCTTGAAATCTTAAGTATGTAAACCTTAACCAACTAACTTTTTAAAATATATTTTTTTCATCATTTGACGTGAGAAGACTAGTAATTTATAGTACATTGGACGAACGAATATACTTCCCCTCCTCCAACCCCTCCGAATTCAGAATACAATCTACCCTAATAAGATGAAAAGACAAGAAATTATAAGAGCCCTCATGTTTTTTTAGATTGTGTTGGAATTGTTGGGAAATGAAACTAATTAAACTGATAATTTGTTGTTCAATGATAATTGTGATGCATCAGATGATGAATTTTTTTAAATTTTACATCGTGATGAAAGAGAAACAAATTATGTATTGGAAGAAAGAGAATCGTAAAGTTTGTAAAACAATTTGGGAGAAAGTGAAAGTCAAGGAAATATCATCAACAATCATGATTTCACACGTACATACTTTTTTTTTTTAAATTGTGTTTTGTATGAGTTTTACTGCTATATTTGAAAAAAAGGTAAACTATTGTTATATAGGTGTTATTTTATTTTTTAAATGGTATACTTGTGTTTTTTTTCCCATTTTCCCAACTAAATAAAACTACACTCTCACATATCGTCTCCCGTATTTACCTTGTTTGGATGGTTGTTATCATTGTATTGTATTGTATTTTTAATTTAAATACAATGTTTGTTTTGATGGTTACTTAAATTCTATTGTATCATATTGTATTGTTTAAACTCATAGTTAGGTAACGAAGAAAAGACCCATTTTATGTAACGATCGATTTGGTGTGATTACATTGTTACCTCACTATTTTCTTTTCATTTAGTCTTTATTTATTATTTAACTAGTCCTGGGCACGTGTGTTGCACGTGTGTCTCATGCTAAATTGTGTGGAGTTGTATAACGATATATGATGTAATTCTCAAAAGGGAATTACAATAAAATGCGGAAATCGAAAGACAAGAAATTAAAGATAACTAGATAGACACACAAAGAGGAAATCAAAAGCAACGTAAGGGTATATTAAACCCAAAGACCTTAGTCGATAAATCCTACAATAGCACCTAACTCTTACGAAAACCTCAAGGGAATCGAATTCACCTTGCAACCCTCGTTTCTAAACAATAGTCAACCAAAAGCTTAACCAAGCTCTCAACACTCATACATGAGTTTTCAATCTTCAATATTCAAAAAATAGTCTAAGGGTGTGTTTGGTATCCAATTTTCTCATGTTTGGTTGGATTAAATGTTTTGGAAAATGTTTTTCAAATCAACTTATTTTCCTCAAATTCAAGGAAAATGACTTCTCTTCAAAAATTAAGGAAAACATTTTCCAAAACTTTTCTCCAACTTCAAATTACAATTTTAATGTTGAAAAAAATAATTTTTTTTGTTGAAAAAATAAATTTAAAGCTTATTTTTAAAAAACATTTTTCAACTTCAATTTTTTTATTTTTTTACCCCACCCTCACCCCAACTCCCCCTCCCGCCAACCCCTACCCCCCCCTCCCCCCCC